GGGGCGGGGCCGGGTCGCTGCCGCAGCCTCTTACCTGTCCAGGTAGCTCGCATTTCCCGGCGAGCGGCGGCGCCCGCAGCACCTGTCTCCCGGTGCGCGGGCGGGGAGGACGGCGCGGGGCATGGCCTGGTAGAGGCCGCTGGGGAGACGGTGAGGAGGCCAGTCCGGAGCAGGGCAGGAGGCGGAGGGACAGTCCTCCCCGGCGCCTACTCGGCCGGCGGCAGCATGAAAAAGAACCCGACGGTGCAGGGCACCTTCAGCAAACTCTTCGGGAAGAAGCACGCCAACCCTCCCGCCACCTCCCTCTACGCCACCAACCCCCCCTGGATTTTCACCCAGGAGGCCCCGGAGGAGGGGACCCGGGACTTCGGTGAGTGTGCCCGGGAGCTGGAGGGCGCAGGGCTGCCGGGCGGGCCCCCCACCCCGGGGTCGACCTCCCTCCTGGGACTCCGGGCGATCCGCGGCCTCCAGGGCGGGAGACGCGGCAGCGCAGAGGGGAAGGAACGCGTTTGAACCTGTGTGCTGGCCGGGCAGGAGCCTCCGGCGAGAGAGGTGCCTCTGGGAAAGGGAAGGAGGGGCCCCTCTCCACTGCGAGGTCGGAGACCTTTGCGGGGGTCCCCGCATCTGATCTTAGTCCCTCTTCCGAGGTGTTTATTTTCCCTCCTCTGTGGAAGTTATATTTGCGTTATTGTTGCCAGAAAGGCTTCCCGCGGTTTGCAGTGACCTCCCTCACCCTTCCCCCAGCAGTACTGTTGAGTACAAAGTGTTCCACTGGATCTGAGGGCTTGGGGGTGGTCCTTTCAACCCCCAACTCTTTCTGCTTCCTCCGTCCCCCCACCCCCAGTTCCCAGCCCAGCTTCTCCTGGCCCGGGGTCACAGGCAGAGAGGGAGCTGCTATCTGCGTGCCCACACACTTGGCTCTGCCCTGGGGAGGCCCAGGAAGAATCCACAGGAGCCACTGCTAGCAGGATACCAGCCTGTGCCAGACACCAAGTCACTTACTGGGGTCACAGGCTCTTGCCAGGTCAATCTGGGGCCCGGTTGCCTATGAGCTCAGAGGGAGAAGCCCCAGACCCGACAGGGGAGGCTGAGGAAGCCCCTCCTGACTGCCAAGGTGGTGTGTCTGCAGGCATCTGAAAACACCATGCCCACCCTGCCTTTGGGTTCTGCCTGTGGGTCACCTTATCACTGCATCTTTCTGCAGTTTGTACCCTATATAACTGAGGGGGAATCCAGGGGGTGGGGACAGGAATTCACTTCTTGTGTATGATCTGAGCTTCTGGGCCCAAGGAGGGTCACCCATCACTGCTTTACCTCACCTGCCTTCATTGTCACCCCATTACCTTCACTGACCTTTATGGCCACTGTGTGGGGACCCACAGAGGATGTTACAGCCTCAACCCCTGCTATTGGATTCACTTCAGCCCCCAAGTTGTCACAGTTGGGACACAGGCACCCTGACAGGAGCAGGGCAAACAAGACGTTGCCTCTCTCTGGCCCAAGGATCTCAGACCAGCTGGTGAACAGAGCTGACCGAATGCTGTTTAGCCCTTTCTGAGTCTTTGCTATAAAAGAGTAAGTGCAAAAGGAAGAGAGAGAGATGACCTCTGATTGGAACTAGCATGTGAGCTGAGAGGGAAGGGCACCCAGCATTGCGAGGGCAAACAGCAGGAGCAAAGCCTACGAGGGCCAGGGTGGCTTGGAGGCAGGGTTTAGGAACTTAACAAACACACATGTCCTGCCAAGTACAGCTCTGTGAGGCCTAAACGCCTCTCCTCGCCTGGGTCCCAAACATTTATTGACCCCTTCTTAGGTGCAAGGTACCGTTCTAAAGTCCTTGTGTTGTTGACTTGTTGAATCCTAGCCTATGATCCTATTTGACAGATGAGGCAACCAAGGCACAGCGAGGTTAAGTAACATGCCCAAGATCACACAGCTTTAAATGACGGAGCCAGGGTTTTCTCAAGTGTACAGTTCACTGATTTTTTTAGTAGACTTATCAAGTTGTGTAACCGTCAGTGCAATTCAGTTTTGGGACATTTCCATTACCCCACAGTTTCCCTCATGATGCACAGCCAATATTTGAACCCAGGCAGTGGGGCTCCAGAGACCACACTCTTAGCCGGCTTGCAGAGTGGACTTTGTGGAAGGTAATCAAGGGGGAATTTGACTGGAGGGGCATCTGCTTGAGAACACCTCCCCCCTCACCCCCCCCAACTCCTTCCCCAAGGGGATTGCCTTACACACTTCTGTACATTTTTGCCTTACATACTTCTCTACATTTTTGCCTGCACTGAACAGACTGCAGGTGGGGTTCAGTCCCTTCAGTAGAGAAATGCAGGTATGGTGCCCTGTCACCTCTAGCCAACTGCTGCCTCCACCAGCAGAGCTGGAGCCCAGGGAGTCACCTCCTCCCCTTCCCCAGGGCAGGGCTGAGTCTCCATCTGACTCAGCCTGGTTGCACCACATGGAGGGGTGGGAAGCAATGTGCACCCAGCAGGATGGCTCTCCAATGTTTCTGGGGTGTTCCTCAGGGTGCCAGTGGGTGTAGCAGAGGTCTTCCTTCTGAACAGGACATGTGCTCGGAGTTGGGGAGGGGAAGGACCAGTGTTGGGGATTCTGGGATGTGATGAAGATCCCAGACCTGTTTTGGAGTCCACCTCTGTCAGTAAGTGGGGGCCTAGCCACTCTCTGGGCCAGTTTTCTTCTTCTGTTAAATGGGGCTGGTGTCCAGACTGCTTACAGAATGACTGCTTGAGGTTGGTATATGGCAGTGCTTTGAAGAGTATTAAAAGGAAAAACACTAAAACAAGGATTGGCAAATTATGGCCCATGGCCTGTTTTTGTAAATAAAGTTTTATTAGAACACAGTCAGCCATGCCCATCATTTGCATATCGTCTGTGGTTGCTTTCATGCTACTAAGGGCAGAGTTGAGTCACAGCAGCAGAGACAGTATGGCTCACAAAGCCAAAAATATTTCCTAGCTGGCCCTTTACAGAAAAAAATCTGTTAACTCCTGCGTGATTTATTATTATCAGGGCATTTCCAACTCTGAGCACTTCCTGCTTCAGTTCCTGTAGCTGAGGCATGTAGAGGCCATGATAAGATCTCAAAGGGGTTGGGATTAGAGTTTCATAGGGTCCCTGAGTGTGTGACATTCTCTGAGATGCTGGCGGTATCCAGCCCTTGGAGAATAGCTGGTAGGATGGAGGGGGAGGAATCAGTGTGGGAGTATGTAAGGGAATTAAGGAGTAACCACTTGCTCTGTGGCTACAGTCACGTAAAAATCTGTTTGCACAAGGGTAGGCTGGGTGCAGCAGGTAAAATGCAAACAGTCAAGTGAAGGCGGTGACAGGTAAATTTTTCTTTACAGGATTTCCCTAACATTTATCCAGTAACTATTAGAAGGGCTTCACTTAATGCAATTGCAATCCTAATTAAGCCTCCTGTGAGCCCACACAAGGGTCTTAAAAGGCTGCACAATTGCTTTTAGAGTACGTGAGAAAGCAGAGATGTGGATCTTTACAAATCTCACGATAAAGGACTTGCTGCAGCCTGAGACAAGGCTGCCAGTCTCTCAGGACTCCTCCCTTGCCTCTTGGATTAGATGAGCCAAGCTTCTTTATCTACCACCACCCCACCCCACCAATAGGACCCCCTGATTGCTGGGGGCCCTTCTTTCTTGTTCCTCCAAAATGTAAATCACCTTCCTCCCAACCACCTAGAACACTTATTTAAAATGCAGATTCCAGGGGGCCCACCGGGGTACATGAAGTCAGAATCACTGGACTAGGACCCAGATTCTGGACTTTTCACCAGCTCCTCGGTGATTCTTTTATATGGGAATATTTGAGAATCCTGGGGTTTCCTTCCCCAGATGGAGCTGGGCCATTCTCTTTCCCCTGAGGACTTTTTGCAGTTCTGAATAAATGTATAGGGACTATCCCAGCTCCTTATCCAGGAGAACCCCAGTGCTCCCTAAGGTGGCTACTGGTTCTGGTATTCCTGATCCTGGGGTCCCCTGACCTGGTGTCTCAGGCCAGGCTAACAGGTAGGAAGCCATGAACCCCAGGGGCTGAGCACATATTTCTGGCCAGGGACAGGCTGGCAGCAGCCTACCGAAAGGAAAGCTGACCTGTGCATGGCAGGGGTGTGAAGGAGATTTTTGTTTACTCCCGTCCCCTGGAGGTGTGCTGTGGTTTGCTTGCAGCTACACACACACACACACACACACACACACACACACACACACACACACACACACACACACACACTCTCTCCTGCCCCACTATATACC